AAGCAACCCAAAGACAGAAGGGCTTGATCTGGCTCACAGTTCAAGGTACTGTCCACCAAGGTGGCGGCAGCTTGAAGTGGCTGGTCACCCTGTATCCCTTAGGAAGAGGATAGCAAGGGATGCTGCACAGTTGGCCCCTTTTCCTTCTGCCTGAAACCACACTCTTAGGACGGTGCTGCCCACAGTTAGGGTGGGTCTTCCCTCATCTGACATAAGCAAGAAAGCCCCTGGTAGGTATGCCCAGGGGCTCATCTCCCAGATGACTAGATCCTGTCAAGTTGATAATCTATATTAACCATCAGGAGTTTGGAAAAGAACTGAGGAGTGTAAAGAGTAGGGAAAAAAAATTCAGCACAACAAAATGGCTGCCTAAACAAGCCCAAGAACAACACTAATAGACGCACTACCATGAAAAGGGGAAATTCTGAGGGGGCCTGCCCCTAGACAAACAACTGCAGGCAACTAACCACCGCTGAGAGAGAGAATTCATCTTTCCCTTAGGGATGAGCCCCCTACTTAGTTATATGAGTCCTTACAAAGCACTGTACTTTGTCTCTCATCTTGGTTAGCTCCAATGCATTATATAGCTTCAAGGGTCTTCTTAAGAGTCCCCTGTCCCCAGCTCCCCAGACCTAAAGGGTCTATATTAGTGTTGGCACACACTATGTGCTCCTTGTCACGGCTGTAAAGATCCTGGTCTACCTGCTTAGCCTGCTCCTCTTCCCTCTGCACCTGCCCCCAGGCTGATCCGCAGCTGGCAGGAAGAACACTGCTGCACTTACACTCCAAAAAACTGGCCTGACCTGACAAACATCTCTCCTTCTGTGGCTCCTGCCGGGTACCTCTGTGGCTGTCCTACCTGCGGGCAAACTAGTACTTATGGAACCTTGGGCTGACCAGAGTACTGCCTGAGTGCATTCTGCCAGCTGACAGGAGCAGGCCAGCATAATGTCTGAATCCTTACAGTCCCCACCCAGTCACTGGTAAAGCATATTAATAGGCTATAAAGCACTGACCATTAGTGGAGGCAGAGCAGCTCCTGGTACTCCACAGCCCAACAGAACCTCACAGAACAGCTGAAACCACACACAAACCAGGGTATGAAGTATCCTTCAAAATGAGACAAAACAAAGGCCTGTGTGAGAAACCAGAGAAGCTCCAGGCAAGGCTGGGTTGGTAACCCCAAGTAGTAGGAACATGAGTGACTAATGAATAGTGAGGCTACATGGGGCTGCTTTATGCTTTTGTGTATTACCTTGTATTCAATGTTTCATCAAAGTTGAGGTTACAAACATATATGATGGGGCTGGGGAAATGGCCCAGTAAGAAAACTGCTTGATATACAAGCATGAGGAGCTGAGTTCAGATCCCCAACACCCTCAAAAACAGTTACTTATGGGCTGAACCCACTACTTCAACATGAAAAGATGGATTAGTGGGTAAAGGTGTTTGCTGCCAAGCCTGAGTTCAATCCCTGGGACCTGCACAGTAGAAGCAAAGAACCAACTACCACAATTATCTTCTGACTTATACATTTAAGCCATGGCATACCCGCCCCCCAACACACACACATATAATAGAGCAAGCAAAGCAGCTAGACAGGTGTGGCAAAAGATAATCCTGTAATCCCAGAACTGGGAGACAGAAGCAGGAGGATCCCTAAAGTTCACTAGCCAGTCATTTAGTCAACTAGAGAGCTCTGGATATAATAAGAAGACCCTATCTCAAAAACAGGAAACCAGATAAGGCAGAAAATAGTAGAAGAAGTATCTTTCTACTTCTGTCCTCCACACATGCATGCACAGGTACACACACAAAATACTTCAGCATCCTCATTCAGACCACAGGACAAGTCTCTGGGAATTTTGCATGCTCAAATGTATTTCCTTTACTATGGACCATGGTCTGAAAAGGACAGAGTTAAGGTATCAGCATACGGGGAATAGAAGCGCCCCTCCTCTTGACTCTGACGAGGGGCAGTAGACAACTATCTCAGGCTTCAGAGGCAGCAGAGAGAGGTGGGCCATGCCTGGAGTGACAGGGACACCTTTGCCAGTGTACTCAGCACCAACCAAGGGACCAAGGCTTGGATTTAAAGTAGAAACCCCTATTTCAACATGAAATTCCACAATTTTTGAATGTTAGAAACTTTAAAAGAAGCGAATAAATAACCAAGTTACTAAGCTCAGTCATGCTTGTGCCCAACCCCAGAGGATCAAATGCAAGCCAAGTCTTTGGCAGGCCCACAGCATTTTCCATCACTACTTCAGTCAGTACTCTGAATGGAAGCTTTTCTCTCTTCACAGGAAAATGGGTTTGTGCTGCAGGGGGTTGAACATATAAGCTCACACATGTTAAGCAAGCACCCTACCACTGAGCTAGAGCCCAGCTGGGAAGGCCCAAGCTTCTCACCTGTAAACAGAGCTGATACAGCAGCCTCCTGGGCTAGTGTAAACCTGTGTCATAATTCAATAAACAGGGACAAAATCAGAGAAGATGCGGGCTGCCCTGAACCTGGGCCTGTGACTGCCTCATCTTACAATGAGCAAACAGAGGACCAGGGAGATGTCCCCGTGGGCTCCTGCTTGGCCAGTCACTAAGAAGGATGTCAACCCTGCCCAACTTAAACCACAGGTCACAACCCCTATGCTACATTATGGAGAGGGAGATCATACCTAGCCAATCCTCTCTGGATTTCATGTTTCTCATTCTGTCCCAAAGGGCTGCTCTCATGGCTCTCCAACCTGATCTAAGCTGATAAATCACCAGCCCTCCTCCCTTGAGAGGTTTTTAATCACTCCCTGCAAGGAAAGAGGTCTTAATCAGCCAAGGCCGGTCTAGCAGCCAGTGAATGGTTAATTAAGGCAGCCAACAGAGATGACAATGAAGCCTTGGCAGGCAGCCATCCCAGGGCTAAGCCAGTCTGCTCTGTTCCCGGCTTCTAATTGGCACAGATAGCTGTGCATCCAAGTCAGCAGACAACAGCAGAGCCTGTGCCCCCACTACAGAGGGAAAACAAAGCTGAGGTAGATGGGGCTGAGGGCTGAGGGCATTACAAAGCTGAGGGCTTTCCTGGTTATCAGAGTCAAGAAACAAGAGACAAAAATTCTAGTCTGTAAGGCAACAGAAGAGCTAATCTCCCTGTGTGGCCAAAAGGTCAGAACTTGAGGGAAGATGAGGTGAGGGAATGGTGAAAGTTCAGGGTGCTGGTGGAGGAAGGGTCACTCATCTGAGCAACACAAGTCAGTGTTTCCAATGAAGCTGTCAGCACATCCTGCCAACCACCCTCAGAGACCATGCTCTCCCTGTGTAGTAAGCACTAAGGCTCAGGGGGAGTGCCGGCAAGGTCACAAGCACCCAAATACATTTTGCCTCTGTGGCTAGCAGCTGACCTCACCTACTGGAAGCAATCAAGGATCCTGTGGATTAAGAAAACTATCTACCCACCAAGTCAAGATGGAAACCGAGAGAAAAGAAGGCTCTGCAAACACAGGGGAAAGTGGGAAAACCTTACCAAGCAGGTTGGATACTGACCCACCCCATAGGCAGGCTTAGGGCGCACCCCAGGAAGGCTTCTGAGATCACACTATAAACCACTGCCGTCAACATCTGAGGCGGGCAAGGTGGGTAAGAGGGAACAGGCTACTGACTGAAAGACACACTGAGGCACAGACTGTCTTAAGGTTGGGCCCCTCCTTACCTGTGTTTTGTTGGTTTGGTTTGGGTTTGGTCTGGTTTTTGGGACAGAGTCTCACACAGCCTAGGCTGGCCTCAAACTTCCTATGCTTGTGCCTCCAACACTCTAGTACTGGAATTATAGGTCTACACCACTATGCCTGGCCCCTTTACTGGCTTAAAAAAGACCTGGGAGCGCTAAAGACAATTCAGTGTGAAATTCAGCAGTAAAAGGAACCCTCCAGGCCCAGTCTCTGATCCACAGAACCGAATTCATTTCTGAAAATGAGCTACTCATCAGATAAACAGGGATCAAAGGTCTGCTGAAGAGCTGAGAGAAACCAGGAAGGCCTAGACGAGGTGTGGAAGTGCCCACCTGTCACCCTATATGGAGGAGGCTGGGGCAGGAGGATTGCAAGCTCAAGGTCAAAGGCTGGAAGTCCAAGAGCAGGCAACCCCTCTTGCTTGGCCTCTACTGAGGCTGTATCATATCATGACAAAGGCTTCTGACAAGATTGTGTGTACATGGTACACAGGAGACCCTGTTTCAAAGAGAGACATTAGATGATCTCCACAGTCCCCACACCACACACCTCTACTCTGTATTTCTGGTGTAAGGAGGGCTAGGGAGAAAAAGGACACATTTCTCCTCAGCAGCAATGCTTGCATTAGCATGAGGACAAGGAACTGGAGGTGGCAGCCACAAATGTGAAGGATGGAGAGATTCCTAGCCTTCTCTGTAGGACACAGTTTATTTCCAAGTTCATGGCCAGAGCAGAACACCCACCTTGAAGGCTTCCTCACCCCTACAGGGGGAGCAGTAAAGGACTCGCTACTTCTGGGAAGTGGAAGGAGTTAGCGTGCATCCAAGATTATCAAAGGGCCAGGGTCCCACTAAGCACCAAGTGTCCCCTATTTTCAACGACAATATTTTATAACAGTGAGAATGGGTAACAGCAGAGCTCTGAGCTCTGACACTGCGGGGTTTCTGGTGCTGCTGAAGACATTTAATTATGCAATGCCATGCTATCCCCAAGCATCAAATTAAAACAGATTATTAATTTCCCAATAATTGCTACACCACACTGGCAGAATAAGCACTGTGGCTATAGGCAACCAAACCCAGAGGAGCTGGTGATAACATGGCTCTGGGAAGCACATACAAAAAGATGACTTCATTTAAGTTTAGGGGCCAGACAGCACTGTTTTTACTTCTGTTTTTCACTCCATGGATTTCTGAGCACACAAGCACAGGCCAGGCCCACATGATGAGCCTGTTATGGAAAGACAGATAAGGTGCCAAGGCAAAAGTGGGCTTCAAATACCTGTCTCAGTTTTGCTGGCAAAGCCTGCTGCCTGCTTGATGGCTGCTGCCGTGAGCGCTAATCCTCGGCTCCTCTTCATGCCATGCTGAAGAACAGCTTCAAACTGGGCACACAGACAGGTCACCCTACAGGAGAAGCAGGGATCATCAGTCCACCTGAGAAGTGGCACCAGCAGAGTGAGCTCCAGCACTGCAAGTGAGCCGACAACTGTAACTCCAAGAGATACCTGGATTTCCAGACTTGGGGAGTGCCAAAAGCCTCACCCCTATTTTTGTTTGATTCAAGTCAGGGATGCCCCTTAGGACCAGTGCTGGAAGAACAGGGGAAAGGATGCGAACCAGCAGGTGATGCAAAGCCAATTTAAAAACAAATCAGTCCTGTGGGGACTGCATTCAATTCACAAGTCTCAACTCTTAATTCACATCACATAGTTTACAAAGCACAAAGCAAGATGACATTTTTAGAGGCTGAATCCACAAACCTGCCAAATCAGAAACACTATAATTTCATGGCCTGTTACTTACTGTCATATGAATTCTTACTCTTGTTCCTTATTGTATTATATAAAAAAGTACATTGTGAACTTCTATCTAGAGTTGACAAAATTTTCAATTACATTACAATTGCTGTGCACTTAATTGAATTTCTCAATAACTGAAAAAAAAAAGGCAATTCAGAGCATGCCTGTGGAGAGATCAAGTCAGGGCAACCACATTGGATTCTCAGGTCTTCCCTAGGTTCTTGGGCCTCTGTGTTCTTGGCACATGCCTTCTGAGCCCTTCCACTCACAGACAGTGTATAGCTCCTATATGCCAGGCCTTATTCTGGGCGCTGAGAAAAGATGGGAGAAAAGGTGGGACAAAGTGGCACACACCTTTAATCTCCATCTCTTAGGAGGCAGAGGCAGTTGGATCTCCATGAGCCAACCTGGTCTACATAGCAAACTTCAGGCCAGACAAGGGTACTTAGTGAGACCTGCCTCAAAATCAGATAGATAGATAGATAGATAGATAGATAGATAGATAGATAGATAGATGATGGATGGATGATAGATTTAAGAAAAGAAACACAAAAGGGTAGGAAAGACAGAAAGTGCCCCACCCCAGAGTCTTTACACTGCTCTGAGGAGGTAAGTATGGCCAGAGACCTCACAAAACATTTCAGTTCCTCAGAACTAGAAAGAAATTAGACCAGGGTGGCATGGGGAGTGGCATGGCCAGGTCAACATCCTGTGAACAGATGGCAATAGCCTTGGATTTATGACCTTGATTTTGACCAAAAAAAAAAAAAGCAGCAAATTAGGCAGAGGGGCCCAGTGCAAAGGCCCTGAGAATACCCCCCCACCATCTGGCTCAACTTTGCCTAACTTCAAGGATATCTGCTCCATCAATCAACTTATCTGGCACAGTGCTGCTCCAGGGAACTGTTGCTATGTGGTGATGAAACATTTTCATACCTATTACCTCAGGAACTCCCCCAACAATGTTCTGAGCCCTGATGAGGTAGATTCTACTATCTCCAAAGCTAACTCCTGGCCTCCCTGCTTGTCTTTTCCAGACTACCTGTAACCAGCAAGGCCTGGTCCAGTATGTGTTCCCACGTGCTTCTCCAGTGCTTACAGAGTATGGGTCCCAGGATCCATCCACATGACAACCTTCTTTGTGAGGCAGTTGTCATTCCTAAACATTAACCATGTGCCTGCCACTACTCTATGACAAGCAGGCCTGCAAGTGTCTGGGGCTTCCTGAAAGCTGGGACAGACAGACAATTACCTGAAATCCACAGAAACCAAAATTGGAGCCAGACTAGGGCCCCATCTTAGGAAAAAAAGCTCTAGACTGTACTGAGGTTTCTCTGTAATTAACAGAAGCCTCTAGCTTAAAATGAATCTCTGCAAACTCAACCATCCGTTTAACAATCCCTGGCAGTTTGCATAGGTCAGTAACTGCCTGATCAGCTCCACATAAAACCATGCCCCTCAGGGGAATGGAATGCAGGCAAGCAGAAAGCCTGTGTTTGGAGGGTCCAGTTGCATCAGCAGCCCGGCCTCCCAAACACACACAGGTCACGACTAAGCTAACAGCAGAAACAATCAGGTTAGTGCTACTCCTGTAATGACATATCACAACACCAAGTCAGAGGCCATTCAATGCCAACACCCTCTAGGTCCCTGTGGACCTCTCCATTTTGAACTAGGCGTATGTCGACTCATGATCTAGTACTCAACTGTCCACAGTTCCCCCAGAAAGCCTCCCTGGGTTCTCTAATCCTGAGGTCCTACCTAAGGCACTCTTAGTAGTCAGTATCTGAGTTCCGTTTCTCTCCTGCTCCACTAAGCACTGCCTAGACACAGAGGACAATGTGGTTCAAATGGTCCTTCTGCTTGGGGATGGAGAGCACAGGCTTGGTGTACAGTTAAGTAAGAGACATCTTGGGGGGGGGGGGGGGGGGGGGGGGGGGGGGGGGGGGGAGGCTATCATAGCTTGTAACTCAAGTCCCTAGGAGTAAGGAGTAAGGAGTCAGGGAAGAGACACCTGCATACATAGGCTAGCAAGATGGCTCAGTGAGAAAGGCACCTGCACTCCAGCTTGGCAACTTGAGTTCAATCCCCAGGATTCAAATGGTGAAAGGGGGAACATACTCCCCAAAGTTGAATGCTGACCTCCACACAAAATAAATATGCAATAAAATGCTCATAAAACATAAACAAAAACACTGCAATAAAAGACATCAAAAGTTCTTGCATTACATTTTATTTATTTTGTGTACATGTATTACCCACACATGCCACAGCACACATGCGGAGGTCAGGGGACAACTTATGGGATTTGGTTCTCTCTTTCTACCATGTGGGTTCCACCACTCGGGTCAGGAGGCATGATAGCAAGTGCCTTTACCTACTGAGCCATCTCGATGGCCCAGAAGTTGCTATTTTTTAAGTACAGAAAATAGATATGCTGGAAGAGAGACTCTCAATTGAGAAAGTGCACCTGTGTGTTCATTCCTTTATGAGCTCATGAATGCATGTGAGAGCAAGTGTGTGCTTGTGAATGTGGGTGAATTTGCATATGTGTGCATGTTTATGGAAATGTGTGTGTGCATGTGTATGCTCCTGTGCGTGGGGGTGGGTGTGGGTTTATATGCAGGTGCATCTGGAGGCCAGAGGTCAACCTTAGTTGTCATTCTTCAGGAACTATCCATCTTGTATTTGAGACAGGGTCTTTCGCTGAACCTGGAGCTCAACAATTCTGCTAGGCTAGCTGGCCAGCCAACTCCAGGGATGCTGCAGTCTGTCTCCCCAAAGCAAGAATCACAGACATGCACTACTATCCCCAGTGTTGTACGTGGTGTTGAGCATCAGAACTCATGCTTGTGCAGCAAGCACTTTACAAACTGACCTGATGCCCAGCATCCACACTAACCACCTTAATGTCCCTTAGCTGCACACGGAGTTCAAGGCAAGACCAGACTATAAGTCTATAAGATACTATAAGGTCCTATAAGATACTCTTTGCAATATTAATACAAATAATACACTTACCAAAAGAGATTGAGTAGTTCCTGTTTTAGTTTAATTCCTGGTGCTATGATAAAATACCCTGACAGAACCACTTAAGAGAGGAAGGGCTTGTTTGGACTCACAGTTCAGTAGTACAGTCCATGACAGGGAAGTACAGCAACAGGAGCCTAAGGCAGCTGGCCACAATTCATCCAAAGTCAAGAAGCAGAAAACAGCAGCAAATGCTCACTTTGTTTATTGTCTCCTTTTACCGAAAACAGATTCTGTTCTCACACAATATATCCTGATTACAGTTTCCCCTCCATCTACTCTTCACACCACCACTGCCCCCTTTCCGGATCCACTGTTTCTGTCCCTCATAAGAAAATAATGGTCTTCTAAGAGATAACAACCAAACACGATAAAATAAAACATAAGATGAAGCAAAAGCCATCACATCGCAGCAGAACAAGGCACCCCAACAGAAGGAAAAGAGCTACAAGAGCAGGCACAGGACTCAGAGACTCACTGCTTCCTACACTCAGGAGTCCCATAAAAATACTAAGCCAACCGGGTGGTGGTGGCACAAGCCTTTAATCCCAGCACTTGGGAGGTAGAGGCAGGTGGATCTCTGTGAGTTCGAGACCAGCCCGGTCTACAAGAGCTAGTTCCAGGACAGCCTCCAAAGCCACAGAGAAACCCTGCCTCAAAAATAAAAAATACTAAGCCAGAAGCTATGAAATATATACAGAGGACCTGGTGCAGACCTGTGTAGGCCCTGTGCTTGCTGTTTCAGTCTCTGTGAGTTCATATGCACCTTGCTCAGTTGATTTAGCCTATCTAGTTCTCCTGGTATCCTTCATGCCCTCTGGCTCTTATACTCTTAATGCCTCCTCTTCCTTGCAGTTCCCTGAGCTCTGAGAAGGATCTGATGGAGACATCCATTTAGAGATTGTTTCAAGGATTCTCTTTCCACATGTCTGGCTGTGGGTTTCTGCATCTATCCCTGTCTGCTGCAGGAGGAAGCTTCTCTGATGATGACCAAATAACACACTGATCTATAAGTATAGCTAAATATCATTAGAAATCATTTTATTAGCTGGGTGGTGATGGTGCATGCCTTTAATCCCAGCTCTTAGGAGGCAGAGATGGGATTTCTGTGAGTTTGAGGTCAATTTGGTCTATAGAGCTAGTTCCAGGACAGTCAGGGCTACACAGAGAAATCCTGTCTCAAAAAAAAAAAAAAAAAAAAAAGAAGAAGAAGAAGAAAAAAGTCATTTTATTGATACTTTTTTTAAAAGACAAGTAGTGAATGGTTTTACTGTATGTCTCTGGACTATCTAGTTTCCAGTTCTTGGTCACCCAAGCAGTGTCAAGTATGGGTTCTATCATTGGAGTAGGGCCTTATGAAACTGGCTGGGTACTCCCACAAGTCCTGTGCCACCATTGCCCTAGTATATCTTGTAGGCAGGACATATTGTAGGTCAAAAGTTTTGTGGCCGAGTTGGTGTTCATGTTTCTCTTTTGGTAGCTGCAGAGCACTTTTCCATACCAAAGACACTAGACACAGTAGTAATGGCTTCATGCAGGCATCAGCTCCACTTCTCCATGTTGAATAGTTGTGTG